TTGCCAGGAGAATTCCCAAGGACAGAGGAACCTGGCGGGCTACAGTGTATGGGGTTGTAAAAGAGTCGGACACTACTTATAACTATGAGCAACAACAAATCTTAGGGGCAGCCAGGCTCTGATAAGCCAGTCAGGCTCTGACATTTCTTTCGCCTGCCAAGTGTCTTGGAAACTTTTACTAAATGTCTCCAAAAAAATTTTTTTTCTTTTTTCAATGGTCAACTAACTATTCTGGTGATAATTTTCTTCTTATGAACTAAGCAGGCTAGGGATACACTAGTGTGTGTAGTGTGTGGGGTGTCTGGCTGTGTTTCCCTGTGCATGAAAGTGTATGTATTTAATTTTTTTCCTTTTTTGCATCCTATTTTGGTAACTAGTCTTTACATGTAAAAGCTTAGGGGACACTGAGGATTCTGGAGCCAGATCTCCTCTAAAACACCCCTCAAGCCACCTCCAGCACCACTTGTGCCTCTGTGTCTGGGCAAGCATCACCCACACCCAGGCCGCCTCCCAAGTCATTCAATCCAGCCCAGAGCACCCTTGTGTCTTCCCAGAAATGTCCTTGAATAGAGCAGTTCAGCAGAGGGCATGGGAACTGGCCAGAGGCTGTAAATTCATTTTTCTCTTTGGCACAAAGGGGCTAGAGACGCCCAGGCAGGCACAGGACAGCTGAAAAAGAGAAAAGCCAACATTCCCGGAGGGGCAACTCAAGGTCCAAAGCAAAGGGCCTCCTTCTGCCACACTAAACGCAAACCATTCATTAAAAAAAACAAAAAACAAAACAGGGAAAGATACTGGTCTTGGAGGATAAAAAAAAATTTCACTCTAAAAAAATTTTTTTAATCCTGCTCTAGCTCTTTTTACATGAGTATGTGTTAAGTGATACTTAATTTCACAATTTTTCAGTGACACTTCCTTGAACTGAATTTCACCCTCTGTCTATAAAATAAATGTTACCCTGATTCCATTTGCTAGTTTCTCTTCCTGTCTGGGCATTCCTACAATGATCCCTTCTTTTGGCCTTTCCTTCTCTTTAGGCCAGTCTTGCAGCATCCTACAACACTGTCCCTTTAAATTATCTTTTCCTGGGACTTCCTTGGTGATCCAGGAGTTAAGACTTCACCTTCCAATGCAGGGAGTATGGGTTCGATCCCTGGTCAGGGACCTTAGATCCCTCATGCCTTGAGGCCAAAAAATTTTAAAACAGAAGCAATATTGTAACAAATTCAATAAAGATTCTAAAAATGGTTCACATCAAAAAATGTTTAAATTATCGTTTCCCAGTCACACTTGGCAGGATTCTGTGGCATAACTAGCAGAAAGGTGACATACCTTTTGCATAATCTGAGCAGTCTCCCTTCTTACTCTGTCATCAAGGAAGTAGGTTGGAGTAAGCAATGCTGGGAGTCTTGAGTAGGAGGAGTTACTTCCTGGACCCTCAAGGCCCACAGGCCCCTCTGCCTCAATGCCTAGACCTCACCTGCTCAGGTGTCATTGGCTCTGATTGTCACTAGGTGTTATAGAAAGCAGGATCTGCCCATCCCCATCTCTATCACCTCCATCTACTTGAGATAAGCTGGGAGCTCTCCAAAGGCTTTAGGCTGAGCATTCCTTGCGGTGATGTTTCCTTCAACATCTAAAGACAAGTAGTGACATCTGTAGTTTCTGCCTGTCCTAGAGGCCTTCAATCTCCAGATTGGATAACTCACCTTTGTGGGTGTATTAGTAAGGAAATCTAGAGCCAATCACCTCTCCCCTGGTAGATATCTGGAGTGGCCATGTGATTTATTTATTTATTATCATTACTTTTTAATTTGGCTGTTCCAGGTCTTAGTTGTGGCATTCAGGATATTTAGTTGTGGCAGGTAAACTCTTAGTTGCAGCTTGTGAGATATCTAGTTCCCTAACCAGGGGTTGAACCTGGGCCCCCTGCACTAGGAGAGCAGACTTTTAGCCACTGGACCACGAGGGAAGTCCCAGCCATGTGATTCAGACTCAAACAACCAAATACTCTTTTCCTGGTCTTGGAACCTTGAGTGGAAGGCAGGCAAACAGATATGGCTAGAGCATCACCAGAGCTCACGGGGTGGGCAGTCTGGGTTGTTTTTGCTAAGAGATTGTTGCTGTGGTTTGGGGGACTTGACTCCCTTTTCTTGGTTTCCTGACTATTTTCAAGCCTGATACTTCAGTTCCCATTTACTCTGTAAGTTCCCTTATAGTCTTTCAATAAGTCCCTTTTAAGTTAGCCGGAGTCATCCTTTGAAGCTTCTAACCAAGAGCACTCACTGTAGACCTGAGCCTCTGTCATCCTTGTGGTTTGGAGGATGGAGAAAAGGAATCACTGGGGGAAGCAACCCTGCTCACTGTATTGGACTTGTTCTGGGCTTGCTCACTGTCCAGGATGGTCTTAGGGCACTGGCGTGGGTACCAGGACCATTATGCCCCAAATTGGACTTAAGTGTGAGTTGTTCTCTACCTAAATGTAGGGTAAGTTGACACTGGCCAGGACCAACTTCTCAGAAAATCAGGCATGGCACAGAGATGGCTAGGTCCTAGATTCTCCTATGACAATATGGTGCCAGTTTCTTGACCTCATGGGTTGTCTTGGAAAAGAAGTAGAGGGAAATGAATCCTTAGGCTCCTGGGAAGTTTCAGCTGTATCCCACCTCCCCAAACCCCTGCCCCAACCAAACAAATATCTTCCCTTTTGTGTGAATTTCCATCCCTCGTGGAGATTAAAAAGTGGAGATACAAGCTTTGTTAGTACAATATCAAGTGCAGAATTATCATTCTCAGTCCTTTTGGAGATCTTGCTTTTTTAAGAGTTCTGACCACTGCAGAGGTGGCGGCTGGGAATCATGCCTGCAGGTACTTAGTGCAGATTTCTCAGGCCAGCCTGGAGTGGCGCTGTTTGCATGAGGTCACTTTGGACTAATAACTTAAGATGCTACCCTACCAGGGACAGAGCATTCAATAACTGAACCTCTCTCTGCATCTTTATACTTAAAAAGGTTAATTAGTGAAAAATGGGTGAAATTCAAATAATCTTTGGAGTGGTGCAGAGAACTTTCCAAGAGTGACATAAAACTCAGAAGCTATAAAAAGACAAGACTGATAAACTTGACAGCATAAACATGTCAAATTTCTAAATAAAAAAAAAAAACAGCAAAAATCAAACAGCATAATGAGAAAAACAGCAGAGACTTCTGTGACAAACAAAGGAATCATATTCTTAATAAGCTAAGAGCTTTTTCAATCCAGGGGTCAGAGTCTCTTATCTCTCCTGCATTGAAAGGCAGGTTCTTTAACACTAGATCCACTTGGGAAGCCCAAAGAGCTTTTACAAGTAAATTCAACTTTAAAAATGGGAAGAAGATATGAAAAATCAGTTCATAGAAAATGAGATTAAAATCGCCAATAATCATGAAACATTTTTCAAACATTCATGAAAAGTAAATTTTCATGAAAATGTAATTTAAATAAAAATTAAAACAAATGTGGTCATTTGATTGTGCATGCTCCCAATAATTGCCTTGTACAAAAATATACCATTGTTCTATCACAGGCCATTAATTATTGACTAGATGTATTAATACCACTTTTGTTACCCAAACATTATTGATCAGAGACGATTCAACATTCACTAACATAACAAATCGGTGTTAGTTTCTGCAAAAATCACCTAGTCAATAATGTTAGGAGTGTCTTTCTCTCTGGCCTTGTATTTCCCCCTTGAATTTCCAGGCAGTTACCCACCTGCTGTCATACACTGATACGACAGGCATTCTTTAAGAGCACTGTGAAATGAAATATTTCCCTCCGTATCAGTGGGCAAGAAGTGTCATAGCTATCTGTGATTCTCTCTCTCCAGATGTGAATTTCTGAGCTATGCCAATAAACAGCACCACTCCCTACATGAGGAAAGGATGTCACAGTCATCAGTGACTGTGCTGTACTTAGTCGCTCTGTTGTGTCCAATTCTTGACCCCATGGACTGTAGCCAGCCCTCCAATATCAGCTGGTGAGCCCTAAGGGAAAATGCAGGATGCTGGCCCCAGATAGCTGAGATGCATATGAAAGAAATGACTTCAATATCCCAAATTCTTGCACCTTCCGATACACAGAAGAGGACTAAATTCCTTAACTTGATATCTGGTTTTTCTTACTGAACAATAATCTTTGATGTGCAGACTGCCTGCTCCCTTCCTTACAAACTTGTATATAGCCTGACTCCCTCTCCCCCCTCCTGGGAGCTATTTCTTAGGGCTGAGATATTGTCTCCCGGGCTTGGAGTCCTGAACATTCCCAACTGAACAAAACATTCTCTACTTTCAGGTTGCGACTAATTTTTTAGTGGACAGTGCCAGCCACTGAAACCCCACAAGAGAGGCCAATCTGTCACTCTCAGCCTCCCCCCCCACCCCCACCCCGCCCAGTGCCGAGATTGACAATAAGTAAGGCTGGGATAACTATTAACACCAAGGAGACGTGGAGCAGGTGTGCTGGGGGCGGAGACTCCGCCTAGGGCGGTATGGTGAGGCAGGTTCCTTACAGGAGGAAACGGAGGAAAGAATGAGAGGTCCGCGACAGAAGAGGCGGGACAAAGCTCTCCTCCTGACCCAGGAACACCACGTGCGTAAACAAAGTGGTGTCCAGAAACCAGGTGCGATTAAGTGGGCAGGCTGTGGGAGGGCCTCCGGGCTGGGCGGGGAGGGACTTCTCCATGTGGATTCTTTTCCTGCTCAGGGGCCGCTTTGGACTGTCGAAGGGCCTAACAAAATTATCTGCCACACAGTTTACAGCTGAAAGGGGGCTTCCATCCAACTTTCCCTTTTAATAGACCACTATTTGGAGGACACAAAGAAATGGAGTGATCTGTCCCAGGTCACGGCTATGGGGCCCTGACGGCCAGTCGGTGGATTTTCCCGCCTCGGTTCCTTCCGCACTGCGCAGGTTATCAAATCCCCAAACTCTGCTCCCTGGCCCGAAGTCGCAGTCGGCTAGTGGGGACTACATCTCCCACAATGCCTTCGGTCCAGCCTCGCTCCCGCCGCCTGGCTGGGTCCGTATTCACCAATGGGAAAGCAGAGTTTCCTGGGACCGTTCTCGGTGGCCAATGAGCGCGGCGGGGGGGCGGGCCTCTCCCGTCCATTGTTCTCGGTGCCCCTCGGGCTTGAGCCGCTGCGACTCCGGAGGGGCCGGACGGTGCCCGGGGGCGCTTTAGCGCGTGGAGCTACCGAGGAAGCGGCATCCGGTCTCTGGAGAGGTGAGCCCGGGGACACAGAGCTGGAGCCGCGCTGGCCCGGGGAGCAGCCCGAGGCCAGGGGATAACGGGCCTGGAGCCAGTACGGGCAGCCCTGCTGGGGGAGGGGCGTCGGGGACTGTGTCCGTGTCCTGCCGGCTCCCCGCTGTCCCGAGTTTAGCCGCCCCGTCGGGCTCTGGGAGCCGACCTGAACTCTTCTCCCTAGCGGCGAGCTCCTTGTACATCTAGCCAGGGGCGCAGGCTTTAGACCGAAAGGCACAGTGGACGACATCCCGCGCAGCTCATTTTAAAGATGGGGAAACTGAGCTTCAGAGGGGGCGTGTCTGGCCCCAAGTGGGACAACACTTAAATTGTCTGGGAACGGTTTTCCTGCTCCCCACCCCCAAGTTAAGAATTGTGTTATAACTGTTTCTTCTAGCCATTTGGTGAATACAGTTTGAGAGCTTTAGTGTTTCCACCGGCTTTTCTTTTTTCTTCTTTTTAAAAAGTTTTCCCGGGAGTGTTTCTGAGTCTTTATGCTGTAGTGATGATTTTTAAAAATAACTTCATTGCCTTTTAATCTTTGTTTTAAATAACTGCTCTCAACATTCTTGTAGAATTTCTATCCAGGTTTTTTTTTTCCTTGTGTATGTGTTCATTTTTAAAAGGAATTGGGGTCAAACTGTATCTGTGGTTTTTCTATCTTGCTGGTTTTGTTTTTATTCATTAGTTTTCATATTATGAGGATTATCTTAAGTCACCAATGATTAATAATTTTTTTTTTTTTTTCACGAATTTGCGTGTCATCCTTGCGCAGGGGCCATGCTAATCTTCTCTGTATCGTTCCAATTTTAGTATATGTGCTGCCGAAGCGAGCACAATGATTAATAATTATTGTCAGCATAATTTTTAAAATATTTAAAAATACATACATCAGAGCACACAAATCTTAAATTTCATATGTATGCTCTTATGCAACCATTGCCAAATCAAGACATAAAACATATCCAGCTCCTTTGAGCCCCTTCTCAGTAATATCCCCATATCCCCAACCCTCCACCCCCCCAAACGTAGCCATTATTACATCATCAGCGTAGTTTTTAGTACATTTTATTATATGGATGTGCCATAATTAGCCATTCTCCTGCTGCTGGATTTTAAGGTATCAATTTTTTTTGCAATTAGAAACAATGCTACGGTTGTGTCCTTGCAAATATTTAGTAAATTTCTCTTTGCAAAGATGGTTATTTTATTTTATTTATTTATTTTTTTTCATTTATTTTTATTAGTTGGAGGCTAATTACTTTACATCATTGCAGTGGTTTTTGTCATACATTGAAATGAATTAGCCATGGATTTACATGTATTCCCCATCCCGGTCCCCCCCTCCCACCTCCCTCTCCACCCGATCCCTCTGGGTCTTCCCAGTGCACCAGGCCCGAGCACTGTCTCATGCACCCAACCTGGGCTGGTGATCTGTTTCACCCTAGATAATATACGTGTTTCGATGCTGTTCTCTTGAAACATCCCACCCTCGCCTTCTCCCAGAGTCCACAAGTCTGTTCTATACATCGGAGTCTCTTTTTCTGTTTTGCACATAGGGTTATCGTTACCATCTTTCTAAATTCCATATATATGTGTTAGTATACTGTAATGGTCTTTATCTTTCTGGCTTACTTCGCTCTGTATAATGGGCTCCAGTTTCATCCATCTCATTAGAACTGATTCAAATGAATTCTTTTTAATGGCTGAGTAATATTCCATGGTGTATATGTACCACAGCTTCCTCATCCATTCGTCTGCTGATGGGCATCTAGGTTGCTTCCATGTCCTGGCTATTATAAACAGTGCTGTGATGAACATTGGGGTGCACGTGTCTCTTTCAGATCTGGTTTCCTCGGTGTGTATGCCCAGAAGTGGGATTGCTGGGTCATATGGCAGTTCTATTTTCATCTTTTTAAGAAATCTCCACACTGTTTTCCATAGTGGCTGTACTGATTTGCATTCCCACCAACAGTGTAAGAGGGTTCCCTTTTCTCCACACCCTCTCCAGCATTTATTGCTTGTAGACTTTTGGATAGCAGCCATCCTGACTGGTGTGTAATGTTACCTCATTGTGGTTTTGATTTGCATTTCTCTAATAATGAGTGATGTTGAGCAAAAGATGGTTATTTTAAAAAATAAATTCCTGAGGGGCCAAGGCTGGATCTAAGAATAGGAACATTTTCGAACATCATGTTTTAAAATATAATAATGCAGTTGAGATATTTCCTTCCTTTCACTGAGGCTTAGAGTGCCTTGACATCTGATCCTTTGTAAATTCTTAAGACGTTCCTTTCAGATTAGTAGGATGGGTGTTCTTATCTGTTTATTAAGTAGTCCATGAGGTTATATGACTGAGTTGTATGTTAGGTCAAGGTCACTGACTCTACTGCAAGTCTGAACTGACCTAGAGCAGGATAGCTCTGTCCTGGGTTCTTGTGAGGGCTTTGAATTTTCTCATACTCATGCTTTGGTCTTTTGGGAAGAAAAGCACTGTATTTTGTGCTCGTGATTCTTCTTCTCTTGACACAGAGATGCTTTCAGGAATAAGCCATTTTTCCTTTAAGAGGAACAGGAAACTTCTGATTTGCGGATGTAAGAATCACTTGGTGGCCTGACCTGGGCTGTTGTGAGTTAGATTGTTTTAGGACCTTTTACTTATTGATCCTAGTTCTCTCTCTCATTCTTAGCCAGACCACTTGTTGAAACTGGAGAAGGGTGCTGTCTTCTCAGGGAGCCTGCCTGGAGAAGACTGAAGGTCAAGATCAGAAGCCTGAGTGATTCCAACCCAAGGACGTGGATGATGGCCTCAGAGGGGCCGAGAGTAACCGCTCCACGGAGCCCCATAGTCCGCCTCCCTCGGGAGGAAGACGACCAGGAGGAGGAGGTGGCCACCGTGATCCTGGAGGACGACTCCTGGGTACAGGAAGCTGTGCTGCAGGAAGATGGCCCTGAGCCGGAACCCTTTCCCCAGGGTGCTGGCAAGGGCAGCCCCCACGAGGACGTGGCCGGAGGGCCGCAGGGGGCACTCAGCCGCCTTCGAGAACTCTGCCGGCGCTGGCTGAGGCCAGAGATGCACACCAAGGAGCAAATGCTGACCGTGCTGCCCCGGGAGATTCAGGCCTGGCTGCAGGAGCATCGGCCCGAGAGTGGCGAGGAGGCGGTGGCCCTGGTGGAGGACTTGACCCAGACCCTTCGGGACAGTGGTGAGATGGAGAGCCTCACTGGGAGAGGGTGGGAGTTCCCCGCCGACCCCAAAATGGAGGGGTGTGGTGTTTGCAGAGGAGGAAAAGGCGGCATCCAGGACTGAGTCCCTGTCAACCCCTGCCCTCCAGTCAGGCGATCGGCACGCTGTCACCCCAAATGCCCTGGTTGTGTGCAGTGACAGTTCCAGAATCTCAGCATAAGATATTACTCTTTTAAGTAATAAGAGTAATTTTTAGGGCTTAGAGGACTTTTTTTTTTTTTTTCTATTTGGCTATTCTGGGTCTTCATTGCTGCTCAGGCTTTTCTGTAGTTGCAGCGAGCGGGGGCTGCTCTCTCATTGCGGTGCACGGGCTTCTCATTGCAGTGGCTTCTCTTGTTGCAGAGCACGGGCTCTAGGGCACAAGAGCTTTGGTAGTTGTGGCACATGGACTTAGTTGCTCCGTAGCATGTGGAATGTTCCCAGTCAGGGATCAAACCCATATCCCCTGCATTGGCAGGGGGATTCTTTACCACTGAACCACCAGGGAAGCCCAGGACTACCATTGGAGCTACATTTACATAGTTAGCACAGTTGTTATTTGCGTTGTAGTTGGAATGTTTGGAAGCTGATGGAGGTGATGAGGAAGGGACTGAAGACCCTACAAACCACCTCTTGGCACTTTCACCTGATTGTGCAATACACATCCAGATATTTTAAGTTCCAGCAATTAGAGAAACCAAATCCTATTTTTTTAAAGTGAGTATTTTTTATGAAATCATGATAAATGACGAGTAAGCCAGCTAATAACTAGGGACTTAATCTCTGGTATAAAGTCATCTTGGGCTCTTAAAAGAGTAATTCCAAACTGGAGCTTTTTGCAACTTAATATATTTGTCTCTAGTTTTATTATGACATTGTGGGACCCATGCATGCCATTCAACCACCCTGCCTCCTTTCTGGTCTTCAGCTGTAAACTGGGCTGCCTTGATTACTAAATGTTTACTGCAGATCTGCCTGTGCCCCCGGGCTTCCTGGGTGCTCAGTGGTAAAAAAATCTGCCTGCCAATGCAGGAGACATGATCCCTGGGTCAGGAAGATCATCTGAAGAAGGAAGTGGCAATCTGCTCCAGTATTCTTGCCTAGGAAGTCCATGGACAGAGGATCCTGGTGGGCTACAGTCCCTGGGGTTGCAAGAGTCAGACATGACTTAGCATCTGAACAATAGCAACCACCTGTATCCCTAGGACTGTTTCAGGACCGTGAGAAACGCGGCGACCTTTGTGCTGCTGAGAACTGCAGAGGTTCAGAGAGAGGGGTTGGAGGGGAGAGGAGAGGCAAGGTCAGCGAAGGCTTCATGAATGATGGACCCTTGAGCAGGGGTTGAGCTGGTGGGGGGTTTGGAAAGGTGCGGGGGGAGGGGGAGGGTGTAGCATTCCAGGAGCTGTGCTAAGCAGAGGCCTGGAAGAGTGGATCATTCAGGTGACCATTTGGGTGACCGAGCGTGAGGAAGACTGGCGGATTGGAGTAGAAAGTATGGTTTTAGGAAGTGGTGGGAAGTACGGTTTAGGGGAAGGGTGGGTGAGGCTTTGGCCTCAGCAGGTTGTAACAAGGGCCCCAGGGGCAGGGGAGGAAGCTGAGCTCAACGACAGGATGCAGGTTTTATCCTGGAGGTGGGAGAGCAGCTGGGAAGCCGCCTGGATGCTGGGTGTGCAGTGATAGGGTGGGGACAGCAAAGGAAGGGGAGGAGATGGGACATGTGAGAAAGAACTCATGGTAACACCAGCCAGCACTGATGGATCCTCTTTGTGGGCCAAGCAATGTGCCTAGCATCTTATATGCAAAACTCACATAGATGTCACCACCTTGAGAGATCTGCAGGATTATCATCACTGGGGAAGATAAGTGACTCCATTAAGATCGTGCCCCCAGTATGAGGCTAAACAAGAATACCGGCTCAGGGGTCTGAGGACGTGGCTCATGTTCTTAATCATTTCATCACAAATGAGATGCAAAGTCCTAGTTCTTGGTAGGGTATTGGAAAGAGGGGCTACAGATGAGGACTG